GAGTAGAGGATACCTCCGTAGTCATATTATTGTTGTCACAGTCAATACGTAACCTACGAGCCTGTGCTCTTGTCATGACTGATACTACATGCTGTTGCATTTCCTTTAAGCTGTTCGATGTAATAGGTATCCGGCTCAATGCATCTGCAACTGCGTTGAGCAAAATTCACATGATTAATTATAATATTTAAATAAATATATCCCATCGACTCTAAATTACCACTAATTTCTTCGATAACTATCTTATCCTGTTGTACTAAATTCAATAATTTCTTATGTCGCGACAACCATTCATACTTAATTACACATAAACTAGCTCCACTATCGATTAATAAATTAAGATCGATATTACTATTTTTAAGTTGACACTTAATTACACAAAAATTACTCTAACTAAAAATAGAATGAGTGCACTGTTTAGGTGCGAAAAACTCTAAGTTGTCATAAGTATTTGCGTTATCATTGCGCAAGTTGTCTTGGACATTGGACTCTTGCGTATTATGCTGTACACGCTGATTATTCATCGGCCGTCCGCGAAAATGCTGACGCTGGCGTTGATCGCCTGAGTGTTTACCTCGATTTACGATATGTGAAGTTCGTTGACCTGTACTATTTTCATAATAATTATAGTTACGATTATAATTTTTCTTATTCCTATAAAATAGCTATCTCCTCGGCCTCGGAAACCTTTGTAGTTTCCGCGTTTAACATTTTGGTTAGCTCTAAATTGCATAACCTGCTCTTGTGGATGGAAAGACATAGATTTCCTTAAACTGAATATTGCCACTCATTACCGGCAACAGGGAAATTGCAGATTGTTTGATGTTTGACATTTTTGTACCACAATTCGAATATTCTATCATTCTGACATAATTTCCTTAAACTAAATATAAAGTAATTCCGCATGAACTTAATAATAACATTTAATACAGAACATTAAAATAACGTAAAAAAAAAATTACAATATCAGAGCAAAAACTTACATTGCAGTGAGCACGTATTTACTGTCAACGTATAAGT